AAGCAAAGAACCAGAAAGATGTCTACCTGTACTTTATTGACTGTGCAAAGACATTTTACTGTGTGGATCATAAAAATTATGGATAACATTGTGAAGAATGGAAATTCCAGAATACTTAATTGCGTTCATGAGAAACCTGTACATAGACCTAGAGGCAGTTGTTCGAACAAAACAAGGGATACTGAATGGTTTAAAATCAGGAAAGGTGTGTGTCAGGGTTGTATCCTTTTACCATACTTATTTAATCTGTCTACTGAACAAATGGTACAAGAAGCTGGACTATATGAAGAAGAACACAGCATCAGGATTGGAGGAAGCCCTATTAACAACCTCTGATATGCAGATGACACAACCTTGCTTGCTGAAAGTGAAAAAGACTTGAAATACTTACTGATGAAGATGAAAGATAATAACCTTCAGTACAATGCAACATAAAGAAAATGAAAATCTTTACAACTGGACCAATAAGCAATATCATGAGAAATGGAGAAAAGAATGAAGTTGTCAGGGATTTTATTTTACTTCGATCCACAACCCATGCCCGTGGAAGCAGCAGTCAAAAAATGAAATGACACATTGCACTGGGCAAATTTGCTGCAAAAAACCTCCTTAAAGTGTTAAAGAGAAAAGATGTCACTTTGAAGACTAAGGTAAGGTAAGGTGAGTACTTAGCCAAGCCATGGTATTTTCAGTCGCCTCATATGCATGTGAAAGCTGGACCATGGATAAGAAAGATTGAAGGAGAATTGATGCCTTTGAACTGTGGTGTTGGCAAAGAATACTGAAAATACCATGGACTGCCAGAACAATGAACAAATCTGTTTTTGAAGAAGCACAGCTGGAATGTTCCCTTAGAAGCAAGAATGGCCATACTTCATCTCACCTACTTAGGTCATGTTGTCTGAAGGGACCAGTGCCTGGAAAAGGATATCATTCTTGTTATAATTGGTCAGCAAAAAAGGGGAAGACCCTCAATGAGATGAATTGGGACAGTGGCTGCAATCATGGGCTTAGGCATAGCAAGGATTGTGAGGATGGTGCAGGACTGGGCAGTGTTTTGTTTTATTGCTATGAGTTAGTACTGACTCAATGGCACCTAATAACAACAACATCTTTCTCCTGTGGAGCACCTGGTCAGTTCAGATGATTGCCCTTTTGGTTAGCAGCTGAGGACTCAACCAGTGTCACCAGGGCTCCAGGAAGGAGAGACTGTTTAAAGAGTTAGAAGTGATACTGGGAACATTTCAGGCACTCAGTCAATGTTGAGTATATGAAAAAAAGATTGGCAGAAAATAGCTTGTCTTTCCGTGTGAACCTGTATGTTTTCTTTTATAAGACAATGAGGTCTTTACAACCCAGTGTTTTTGTTCCTTGAGTTCATGAAACACAAAGCTAAATTCAATGCAGAGATAGCCTCTGCTCTGGCATCTACCCACATTTATTACTCTATTCCTTGCTTTCATTTGCAATTGATAACGATTTAAAAATACTGCTTGAGAGCAGATAAGCTTTCTTTTTGTCATACATATTTATATAAATGGTTGAGACAGATAAAGATTCAAACTAGTCTACTTAGCATTCTCTATGTGTACTAGGTTAGAGTCCTGGCTCCTCCACCTATGAACTGTGTGAGGATGGAGAGTTATTTATCTCTCTATGACTCAGTTTTCTGGTCTGTATCATGGGGATAAAAACAGGACCTAGCTCACAGGAAGGCAGAAGTTAAAATGTATAAATATGTTAATATGTCTTATATGAGTGCAGATGTGTTATTACACCATGGTTGGGAGAAGGCTTATGGCTCTGCTGAACAGTAGAAACGCTCATCTTTGGGATTTGATTGCGGAGTTTGAATGACTCTCCCTCAGTTGGTAAGATTCTGGATGAGCAACTCCACCCCTCCACCCATGTCAGGCCACCATTCCCCCTACACCCAGCAAGCCTTCATCTCTCCTTTACCATGCAGAGACTAGCTCAGTTTTCAAAGTCCAACCTATACCTTATCTCCTCTGTGAAGCTCTCTGGAATCCCACAGCCATACACAAAATTGCCATTCAGTGTTTAGCGGATATTTGAAAAATTTGTTTGTTCTCTCTAATTATAACTGGTTCTTAATGGTAGGGAGAGTGATTATACTTCCCAGGGGACATGTGGCAATATCGGAAGACATTTGTAGTTGTCCTAACTCAGGGAAGGGGTGTTCCATGGCATCTAGTTGTCGGGGGTGGGGGAAGCCAGGGATGCTGCTAAATGTCTTATAATATACAGAACAGTACCTCATGACAAAGACTCATGTAGCCTAAAATGTCAATGGTGCTGAGGAGAAACCCTGAACTATATTATAAGCTCCTTGAAGGCAAGAATCAAGTGTTTAATCTCATTGTTCCCACCACTGAGTAGCTTACAGAAGCTTGTTCATCTGTCATTAAATGCTTATTGATAAACTTCCTGGCTGATTTAAGCATGTCTTAAATAAATGATATACCTGCAAGGGGGAGGTGTTATTTCTACTCAATCCAAAAAAGATTAAATGAAGGCTACTATGAGTAAGGGAGTCCCTGGTTTTTACAAATGGTTAACACACTTGGCTGCTAACTTAAAGGTTGGAGTTTGAGTCGACTCAGAGGTGTCTCATTAGAAAGATGATCTACTTCCAAAAAACCAGCCACCGAAAATCCTATGGAGCACAATTCTACTCTGACACACACAGGATCACTATGAGTTGGAATCAACCCCATGGTAAATGGTTAAACTGGCTACCACTGTTGTTAGGTGCCTTTGAGTCAGCTCCAATTCATAGCAAACACATGTAAAACAGAACGAAACAATGCCCAGTTCTGTGCCAGCCTCATAATCCTTGCTATACCAAAATCTATTGTTGCAGTCACTGTGTCAATCCATTGCATTGAAGGTCTTCTTTTTCTCCGATCCTCCACATTACCAAGCATGATATCTTTCTCCAGGGAATGGTCCCTCCTGACAACATGACCAACACAGCTGAGATGAAGTCTGGCCATTCTCGCTTCCACAGAGCACCCTGGCTGCACTTCTTCCAGGACACATTTGTTTGTCCTTCTGGAAGTCCATGGTATTTTCAATATTCTACACCAACATCATAATTCAAAAGCATCAACTCTTCTTGGGTCTTCCTTATTCATGGTCCAGCTTTTACATGCATATGAGGTGATTGAAAACACCATGGCTTGGGTTAGGGGTACCTTAGTCTTCAAAGTGACATCTTTGTTCTTCAGCACTTTAAAGAGGTCTTTTGCAGCAGATTTGCCCAGTGCAATATGATGTCTGATTTCTTGACTGCTGCTTCCATGGTTGTTGATTATGGATCAACATAATTGTTGTTGATTATGAACTCTTTGACAACGTCATTATTTTCTCCATTTATTGTGATGCTGCTTATTGGTCCAGTTGTGAGGATTTTCGTTTTCTTTATATTGAAGTGTAATCCATACAGCAGACTGTAGTCTTTAATCTTCATCAGTAAGTGCTTCAAGTCATCTTCACTTTCAGCAAGCAAGGTTGCATCATCTGCATATCATAGATTGTTAATGAGTCTTCCTTCTATCCTGATGCCATGCTCTTCTTCATGTAGTCCAGCTTCTTGGATTATTTGCTCAGCATATAGATTGAATAAGTTATGAGTATGGATTATTCTAAGATAGTTTAAAGTGTGCAAAGTTGAAAAGACACAATTCATGCCCTGAGTATTCCACAATCTCTTTGGGAGTATGAGACAAACATAGAGACAAATTAATTAAAATACAGAGGGAGGTAAATGCCATAAAAGCAATGCCAAGTGTTGTGGGCAGTAAACCAACTAACAGCCACAAAGGATGGTATAGCTAGACTTGGAAAAAGGGGGTAGGTAATGAGGAAAAGATTTGTTACTTATTATTAGGAACAGTCTGCCCTTTCTATCATCTGTACTCATTATTGAATTGTCTAAGCATCCATAAGCTAGGTGGATGAGAGTTGCAATGATGCATCAGACAGTCACACAGGATCTGAGACAAGCAGGTATGTCAATTGAAAAGTAAAACACTTCTACCCCAATCTGTGTGGGACAGGACCATAGAATAAAACAGAAGGAAAGCTGTGTGAGCTGAATTTTTGTGTTTCTATGACTCTGTGAGGCAACTGAAAAGGATCAGGCACACCTAAGTCATCAAAGAGACATCTCTGTTTTTTAAAAAAACTTTACAGAGCTCTTTTGCAGCAGAGTTGTACAACTCAACATGTCATTTGATTTCTTGACTGCTGCTTCCACAGAAGAATTAATGTGCTTGAACTGTGGTGTGAAGGAAGAATATTGAATACTGAACCCGTGGACTGCCAGAAGAATGAACAAGTCAATTTTAAAAGAAATACAACCAGAGTGCTATTCAGAAGCAAGGATGGTGAGACTTTGGCTCACTCATTTTGGACATGTCATCAGGAAAGATCAATCGTTACAAAAGGACACCATGTTTGATAAAGGAGAGGGTCGGTGAAAATGGGAGAGACCCTTGATGAGATGGTTTGACACAATAGCCATAACAATGAGCTCAAACATATCAACAGTCATGAAGATGGCACAGGACCAGGCAATGTTTCTGTTATACATGAGGTTGCCATGAATCGAAGCCAACTTCATGGCAATTAACAATACAAAAAATCACAAAAATAACTCTGTAGAATGATGCCCCAAATTCAAAGAAAAGTAAAACATATAAACTAAGTAAGGTCTGTTCTAACTGCTGTCAAATGAAAGTATCAAACCTTTTAACCTGGGGACACATGAAACCATTAGAGACAATTACATTCTCCCCCAATGAACAAAGTGGGTTTTCTGTTTTCCTCAGTATTCTGTTGAGCCCTCTGCTCTGCACATTTTGCCTGAGATCAAGAGTATGCATTTTCCTCTTATTGGTAGACTTGCTGCATCAAAGAGTGGAAAAGAATCAAATACAATACTTATTTTTTCTTTTTTTAAGACTTATACTTACAGCTCATCCTCAAAGCAGATTTTGGCATACTTGTCCCTCCCACCACCACTGAGCAACCGGTAGGCATAGGTGTTGGGGGGACATGGAGTCCAGTGGTCACATTTCTGTCTTTTGGGTGCTGGGGCTGTAAAGAACAAGAGCATAATAGTCTGCATCAGATGATTATTTATCAGAGGAACCCAACTCCTGACGATGAACACTATCTGTCCATCCCACCACTCCACAGGAGCAACTCCCAAAGATGGTAGGGAAAATCTGGGATAGGGTTTCCAATTTTCATTGTTACTGTTAGCTGCCACCTAGTTGGCCCCCAACTTATGGTAGCTCCATGTACAATAGTACTAAACACTACCCGGTCCTGTGCCATCCCCCATGACTGGTAACAGATTGGATTATTGTGATCCATTGGTTTTCCACTAGTTGATTTTTAAAAATACATCACCAGGTCTATCTTCCTAGTCTATCTTAGTCTGGACACTCCACTGAAACTTGTTCAGCATAGTAACAAGACACAAACCTCCACTAACAGATGGATCAGTAGTAGCTGAGCGTGAGGTACACTGGCTTGAAGAATTCTACCAATGAGCCACCAAAATACAAAACATTAATTTTTAAACAGCACACATATGGGAGATGGAGTTTGGAAGAAACAAGGGTGTACATCAGTAACTGTAATGCCCAAAGTACTGCTGGGGCTTGGCTCACCATGGTCCAAGACACTCACCCAGTCCACGTCAGCCAGGATGAGAAAACAGTTCTCCAGGCGGCCCTCATCACTGGTATCTTATCCTTTAGCTATTCCTTCCAGTGTCACCTGGTGCTTTCTCTCACCTCAACTCTCTAGCCACTCAACATTGCCTAGCCCTGCCCTGCCTTATTTATTTTTTCTTAGTACTTACCACTTTCTAACATTGTACCATTCTTTTTTTTTTTTTTTTTAATTCATTATAAGGGAAAAATTTTTTTTTTTTTTTTTTTTTAATTCATTATAAGGGCAAAGATTTGTTTTTGTCTTTTTCTTTTTTTTTAAACCACTGTAGCACTGAGCAATGTATGGTACATGTGGTTGCTCTATAAATATCTATTGGATGAATGAATGAGCATTGGGACCCTCGGTGTTAAAATCTGAGTGGATGGCAGGCAGGTGACAATTGACATGGACACAGGGACAGGTGTCTTGCCCACAACGCAGGATCAGCCAGGGACCTGTGGTCACTACCTTCAGAACATATTACTGCAACTCTATTAAACTCTGATCAGTTTTTATTCCTATTGATTCTGTTGTTGTTAGCTGACATCAATTTGGCTACAACTCATTGTGATCTTGTGTATAACAGAATGAAATGTTGCCTAGTCCTGCACCATCTTCTTGATTGTTGGTATGTTTGAGTCCATTGTTGTAGCTATTGTTGTCAGTCCATCTCATGGTTTCCTTCATCTTCATTAATCCTCTACTTTACCAAACATGACACCCTTTTGTAGCTAGTGGTCTTTCCTGATGACACAGCCAAAATAAACAAGCTGAAATTCACCATCCTTGCTTCTAAGAAGCATTCTATTGATTGTACATTTCTTAGATAGAAAAGTCCATGAAAAGTTTATCTCTCCTTATTTAATTTCTGTAGAAAAATGAAAGTAATAAACAAGCAGAAAAAAGAAAAAGCTCCACATATTTCTACTTTCAAGAATTGTCAACATTTTACCATTTGGTATGTGTCCTTGAAGCTTTTTCTATACATGCAGAGGGTATGTGCCAAGTTGGAAAACACAGATTAAATTTAGTTAGATAGTATGTTGCTATTATGGATTGAACTGTGTCCCCCCAGAATAGCAGAATAGACACAGAGATGCACACAGGGGGAAAACAGACACCATGTTAGGACTGGCTGCAAGCCAAGGACTGTCAAGGACTGCCAGCCAACACCAGAAACTAAGAGAGAAGACTGCTGAAGGAATTGACTCGGCAAAGACCCTATTTAGACTCTTAGCCTCTAGAAATTTCAGAAAATGAATTTTTGTTCTTTAAAGTCATCCACTTGCCTTGTTTCTAAAATTTATAGAAAACTCCAAAACCTCAACAACAAAAAGACAAACAATCCAATTAAAAAATGGGCAGAAGACATGTATAGACACTTCACCAAAGAGGATATCCAGGTGGCCAACAAACACATGAAGATATGTTCATGATCATTAGTGATTGTTGTTGTTGTTGTTATGTGCCATCGAGTCATACTTGACTCATAGCGAACCCTCCTTGGGTTTCTGAGGCAGTATCACTACGGAAGTAGGATTGCTCAACCTTCCTTCCGAGGAGTGGCTGGTGGGTTTGAACCGCCAGCCGTCTGGTTAGCAGGCAAGTGTCTTAGCCACTATGCTACCAGAGCTCCCTCATTAGTGATTAGAGAGATGCAAATCAAAACAACGAGGTATCATCTTGCCCCAGTACTAAGAGCAAAGTTCAGCAAGACAGAAAATAACAAATGTTGGTGAGGATGTGGAGACATTGTGACTCTCATATGCTGCTGGTGGGACTGAAAAATGATACAACCACTGTGGAAGCAGTATGGTGATTGCTTAAAAAGTTGCAATTAGAAATACCATTTGATCCACAATCCTATTACTAGGAATATATCCTAAAGAAGTGAGAACCAGAACAAGAACAGATATATGCACACCCATGTTCATCACAGCACTATTTACAATAGTAAAAAGGTGGAAACAACCTAGGTGCCCATCAACAGAAGAATGAATAACCAAACTATGGTACATACACATAATGGAATACTATACAACCCTAAAGAATAATGCAGAATCTGCAAAACACCACAAAACATGGATGAACTTGGAGGACATTATGCTGAGTGAAAGAAGTCAACCACAGAAGGACAAATACTGTATTAGTTTATTACTGTAAAAAGTCAAGGAAAGGTTTATATATGGAAAGAAAGCTTCTTTGTTGGTTACCAGGGGTGGAATGGGAGGGGAAGGAACACTGATAGCTAGGTAGAGACAAGTATTGATTTGGGTAAAGGGAAGGGCTATGTACCAACTGTGAGTGATCAACACAGTAGTATTTATGAAGAAGAAGACATAGAGAGGTACATAGGAGGTACAGACAACAAAGATGAACCCTGTGTGTATACAGTACTGCATTATCAGGTATGGCAAGCATTGGTCTATGGGTGGATAAATGGGTGGACAGGCTGAATAATCAGATTTGTCTAGGCAGAGGGGAATGTGACCATTACCATGTATACGTTTAGCAGACAATGTTCCCACATGAGTATTTGTATGTGCTGTAAGATTGTTCAGGTGTACAGTAGAGCTGACAAGGGACAAGGTTGTGTTGGCTTCTTGGCCACAGCCAGCTACTCACAGGGAAAAAATAGTTGGACCTGTGGGTTCGGGACCATGGTCACAGGGGACATCAGGTTCAATTGGCATATCATACTACAAAAAAATACTGCTCCACATCCTATTTTGGTGAGCATCAACTGGGATCTTAAAAGCTTGCAAGCAGCCATCCAGATGCAATGATGGATCTCTCTTCATCTAGAGCAAAGAATAATGAAGTAAACCAAGATGAATGGAAACAATTAGTCCAAGGGACTGATAGACCATGTGATCTTCAGCCTATTTGACCTTGAGACCAGAAGAACTAGATGACACCCAGCTACTCACTGTCAATCACCCAGAGGGGGATTGGTGCAGGAGATCCTGGATAGAGTAGGAGAACAATGTGGAACAAAACTCAAAATCATAAAAAAAAAAGGCCAGGTTTGCTGGTCTGATAGAGCCTGGTGAGACCCCTGAGACTATGGTCCCTAGCTACCCTTCAAGTCTGAAATTGAACTCACTCCTGTGGCTTGCAGCCAAATAATAGACCGGCATATGGGGTGAACGCTTATATCAGGTAGATACACTACTTGGAGCTATCAATCACGGGAGAACAGAAGGGCAGGGAGACAACTTGGGGGGTGGGGTGGAAGTTTATGGGAGGGAAGAACAGAGGGAAGAGGTAACTATGGGGAGGAAGTGGGAAGAGAGCTTTTGCATTGTTGGGAATTGCAGTGAATGTCATGAGACAAAATGTGTATGAACTGCTGTATGGGAAACAAATTTGGTCTGTAAACTTTCACTCAAATCAATAAAAATTTTTAAAAATTTAAAATTAAAAAAAGATAGTAAAATAAATAAAGTCACTCATTTGTGGTATTTTTATTATGGCAACATCAGATAAATGAGACAATTTCATTACTTCAATTAAAAAGATATATATTCAAGATTTATTTTCCCTCCCAAACTCCAGATACCTTTTTAGATGGCCTACCTCTAAATTTATGAAAAGGTTCTAAAAATATAGTAGTTTCCCATTGCATCTAGTATTATGGAGACTCTTGTTGTTGTTGCTGTTATGTGCTTTTGAGTTGGATCCGACTCATAGCAACTCCTCCTTGGGTTTCCGAGGTGGTATCACTATGGAAGTAGATTCCCCCACCTTCCTTCTCAGGAGTGGCTGGTGGGTTGGAGACTCTACAGTGTCTTTATTTTAGTTTCCTCAATTTAATAATTGGGCCCTTTACTCTAAACTTAGAGGTACTTCACCTAAAAGCATATTGAGCACAGCATTTGAAAGTGTAACTAACTAACCAGAGTTTCTGTTTGAGTTACATTGTGAATGTAGTTAACACCACATAAGTGTTCACTTAAAATTGGTAATAATGGGGGAAGTGTGTGTCCCATTTCCCATGTTGCTTTGATTCAGCTCTGACTCATACTAATCTTATATATAACAAATGGAAATGTTACCTGGTTCTGCACCATCTTCACTGTCTTGATGTTTCCGGGTAGCACAAATATTTAACTGCTTCCTAATGGTTAGGTTGCTAACTGAAAGGTTGGAGCTTGGAATTCAGTCATAGGTGCCTCAGAAAAAGGCCTTGTGTCATACTTCTGAAAACTCAGCCACAGAAAGTCCTACATATAATACCCTGTATATGTATCTTGATTTACAGGCATCTGTAATAATAGATTACACATCCATCCTACCTGTAGCTTGTTATTCCTCCTTAACATAGGTGTCTTAGTTACCTAGTGCTGCTGTAACAGAAATACCACTAGTGG